ACCCAAATCCCATTACCTGGCTGGTGCCACGTCTTCGGATGTTGTCAGCTGGTGAAAATTTTTAGTGGAGACAGTTAATTTATAACTAGGTGGAGGAGCAGAGGCCCCTCTATTCAATTTGCTTTTAGGTACCACCCAGTAGTGTCGTGTGTGTGTGTGTGTGTGTGTGTGTGTGTGCGTGTGTGTGTGTGACTATGCGTTTTGTGTGTGGGCTAGAGCTGCAGGGTCAGACTTCCATGTGTTTACATTTAGGGTTGAAGACAGACACATTAAAAGTTATAATACATATAATAAAGGCTTTTCAGGCATTTATATATAAAATACTATGAGTACAGGGCAGTTAAATCTGTTGCTCAGAGTTTGTGGAAGGAAGGAAGCGAAGGAAGGAAGGAAGGAAGGAAGGAAAGAAGGAAGGAAGCAAAGGAAGGAAGGAAGGAAGGAAGGAAGGAAGGAAGGAAGGAAGGAAGGAAGGAAGGTTGGATTGGTAGACGGGGAAGCAGGCTGGCTTGTGACAGGGGTCCAACAAAAGTGAGCAAAGAAGGCACCGCAGATAGCTAACCACTGCCTAGCTTGCAGTTTTTCCTGTTGCTTTCCTTATTTAGAGCTGTCGTGTCACTCCACATAACTGGCAGGCTTTTCTCCTTTAGATCTATTCTAAGACACTAAAATGAGACTCTTCACACTTCATTTCTCTTCCGTCAGAGGAGAGGCTGATGTGACGTGCAGATGCACGTCACCTCTGCCCAGTGACAAACACCAGCAGCTCTGGCCCGGCTGTACTTTTCCCCTTGATGCAGGCAGTGAGGTTTATTAAATGGCATTTCATTATGATCGCTGGCTCGATGTTAGTCATGGCATAATTTAGAGGCAGCCTGAAGGGAGTTGAGATAACAATGTCACTGCAAAGTCAGGAAGCCATTGCACAAACAGCAACCCCAAGCTCCTTTGCAGCTCGTGCTGCGTCCTGCTTTGGCCAGCGCCACCTCGTTTTTTGCTCCTAGTTTGGTAATTTTTTAAAACCTAAAATATAATTTTTTTGAATTAATTTCCAGGGCTGTTGTCTTTGAAGGATTGATTACTTGGCTGAATATAGAGGGATCTTTTTAGTCTAGACTTTGTTTCTGACTCACTGTGATAACCTGGGCAGATCTTTCAATCTCTTGTCTTTCCTCCCATCACCACTGTTTGTTTGGAAACCTTGTCAAATCATTGCTTTCTTATTCTCAGTGTCCCCACACCTTAACAGTTGATGTTATTCAACAGTCCTTGATATAGAATCAAAATGCTATTCTCCAAGCAGTTCCTAATTATCTCCTGTTTCTGCTTTATAACTTCAACTTTCCCCTTTCCTCAATCTTCTCAATTCTACTGCTCTCTACATTCAGCTTTTCTCTCTGATGCAGCTAAGCCACTGTCCATTAAGGGACATAATCTCTAATGGGATCCATTTCTAGCTAGCCTTTTGAAATGAAGTTCTGTAATTATACTTTAACTTAGTTCTCTCTTTTTCTAACTATGGCTTTTAAAGTCTGTTAATGTTCTAATTGGAAGCCATTCATTATATTTTAATAATAATATGAAAACATATGCTCTGCATGCACTCTTATAAAATCATCATTAGAAGGAAAACCCTAGTGATGAAGACATAATATGATTGGCATAATTTAATAATAGCTACCATTTAAGGCTATTCTCTATGTAGGAGATATATAATATTTAATTCGTACAATAAATTCCCAGTGAGAAAAATAATTTTACAGGTGAGAAAACTTATGATCAAAGAGGTCACTAAACCAGGGCTTTTGCTTTTGATTTTTTTTTTACTCTGTTGAAGATACACATTATTTTGTGAATCCAGCATCCCTTTTTCTGGAAATTGCTTCTCTTTTTTCCATCCATATGGCTGTCAGGGGAACAGTCATGTTGTGACAGGGTCCTATCCCCTGGCTTTGAAGCCTTTCCCACAAAGTTTGTGGACTGGGGGTTATGGGAATATTGGTTCAGGGTATTTTTATTTGTCAAGTTGTAACATGTGAAGCTTAGGAATCTGTTGGTGGCTTATTTACAGGCATACAGACTGAGATGTGGGGTGAAGGCAGCCTGGAACAGAGACAGGGAGGCAGGGTTTGAGTCCCTGCTTCCTGATTTCTGTCCATGTATTGGTGAAGGTATCCCTGTGTCCTGATAATATTTCCCCTTTTTGCTTAACTTCTGATTTGCTGTCAGTCACTTGCTACCCTCAAAGTCCTAATGTTTAGTACTGCTGGTCGTCTTAACCATAGCAAAAGAAGATAGCGGATTTGGGTTGAAAATCACTGACATTTGAGGGTTTAATTCAAAGGCTAATGGTTCCCCAAGTGTATTTGTTTAGGTTCTTCCTTCTTGATCCCAAACTCATGTGAAAAATAAATTAAACCTATTAAAAAGGATTGGATTAAAAAATAGCCAAATTCATTCAAAGAGCAAGTCATCTTGAAAACCATTGAAAGTTAGTTGTTGTTGCTGTTGGCTAAATGAGTTTTATTCAATCATCTTCATTTATTTCTTCAAGAACTCAGTCAGATGTCCCATTTCCCAACACCTCAACATATCAGGCAGCAAAGGGAAAAGGAAAGTTTCCTAAGCGTGGATTGTGGTATTCTCTGTTGAAGTGATTAATGAAAGATAAAGTTCACTATTATAGATAGGAAATTCTTTGAGAAGGTCTTTGCAGCAACTCTAAAATAGAAAGAGATTTGGGATTGTGTAGTTCTTGCTGCTTCTGACACCTTGGTCCATAAGCTTACACTTGTCTGTCACAATGACATCATAGGTCACGTGGGTGACTACAGAGTACCCTAGTGTTCTACTTAGTAGTTCTCTGCCTGTGCCTCTTCAGGCTCAGCAGTTTAAAACTTGCCCCGCTCCTATGTTCATGGATTATATAAGGATCTAGATTGTGTGGCCGCCTCCACCTTCAGGTTTAACACAGGTGACAGTTTGCACTGGGGCTTTACAAAAGAAAAAATGTCTTCATCTTAGGTAACAAAAAGAAGGTCTTAATCCTGCCTGACAATAGTTTAAGACCTAAAAAAAAAAAAAACAAACTATGATCAGGGACTGCATTAAATCAGCATTGGAGAGGTTGTCTTCAAAAATACAGAGAAAAACTAAAATGCGTGCAGAGAATGGAGGTGAATATACAGGTCATTCCAACAGCAGACTGGGGACTCTAAGTTTACTAAGAATATATTTCAAAATAACCAGTCAATTTGATGGAACAAATAGCTTTCAAATATTAAGCTAGTTGTTTGAATGACCAGGTCAGTGGATGAAAATAATTTATATTCAGTTCTCAGACATAGACCTACTTATTATCCAGAAACATTTTCTTTCTGTCTAATCTAAATTACTCTTCCATTGTTGTCACCCATTTTTAAAGCCTTTGCTAATAGGGAATGGCTATCTGGCTTGTTTTTGTCTTCCAATTCTATCTTCTTAGTTTCCCTTGTAGAGTCTAGTTTTCATCCTTCAGTTACTCTTAAAAACCAAGCCAAACCAAACCAAACAAACCAACAAAAACCAGATAAAAGCCACAATGCAGTTCTCATTGGCTTAGTAGATATTTGCCAAGCTAGTGAAAATTACACATTAATTTCCCCACATAGGATTTGGTGGGAATAAAGTACATCCCTTTGCTATACTTGTGGCTTATTAGGTAAAATAGGATGTTGCCCATTTGTGGTTATGTTTGTCCTGCTTCATCCCAGCTCTTCCTGTGTGTGGTACCTGCGGAGGGAGCATCATGAATGCACATTAGGAACATTATTGTTGTCCATGAGTGTGTGTGTGTGTGTGTGTGTGTGTGTAGGGGCAGGTTGGAGAAGAATGTCTCAGTGGTGATGTAGCAAAGTCAGACCCCCCAAAGTGGGATAAATGGGGTTCTCCAAGCTGAGTGTCCTGGGAGCTGGCCAAGGCCATGGCTAGGTTGATGGGAAAGGAGACTGGGCTAGGGCTTACAGAATGAGTGTGCCTGAGCCTCCCTCTGGGCACAGACTGCTGGGGGACAGACTTGAAGCTGGCCTGGTATGTTGGGGTTAAACCATTTATTTTTCTCCTTTTTTATTCCTCTTGGATTTCTTTATACCCTCTCTAAAATTTAGACATCTGTACAACCCTGGGATGGGGAGGCAGGCATGGTGGCCAGTGTTCATGACCTTTGGGGAAACTTCCCTCTCATGTTCTCTGTGGTCTGACTACTACAGAGTTGACTATGGTAAGAAGGCCTCCTGTTTAAATAGCTAAGGGGCAGCCCCTGCAGAGCTCAGAATTGTCTTAAATATGAAAATATCAAGTTTGACACCACTAGGTAAATAATTGCTTAATTTTGAGTATTCATAAACTAAAAATGAACCATTTCCTTGCATTAAAACCCTGTTATTATGGTCTTGTTATCTGTAATAATTTCATAACAATGCAAGCTATGGTAGTTGTGTTTTCTGTCAGACAGTGGTAAAGCAACATGCAAGTTTTTAGGAAAGGGGTGAGAAAGGTGAATGTAGAATGTCCCCACATTTCCCACAATTTTATACATAAAAGAGAAGCAATTCTCTTCATGTGTAATTAGCAAAGATAAGCTTATTCTTAACTTATTTCTGAGTTGCTAAGTCATTTGGTTCGCCCTGTACATTGGCTGATGAGCAGTTATAATTAAGCTTTGGACAGTTCTTTCCACATGAATATTAAAGTAATTCAGGTATTTGAAGGTGTGACATGGAATGACTTCCTCTCTCAGTGGTTCAGTTGGGGGTTGGGTCCTGGCCCCGGTTAGCTGGCCCAGGAGTGTCTGCTGTATATACATTCAAGCTAAGTGACCGCTCCTCAGCTAAAATCCAGGAGCACACAGACGCCAGAGTTAGCTTTCCATTAAGGGAATGCTAGAAACTGGCCCAGGATAAAGCAAAGGCTAAGGGACAGGAAGAAAGCTTGAATTACATGATCGCAATATTCTGCAAAATCAGATTTCGGCTTCTGTCCTGCTTCTCTTTGGAGCTGAAAACGCCTCGAGTTTCTCCCTGAGAAGCATGAGCAATTGCGTAAGTACTATATTTTCTGACAATTCCCAGCACGAGACCATCCAAGGTTACGAGGCAAGGCTGCATGATAAGGTGATTATGTGTTTGGGTATTTTATACATGAGTGTAACCTTGTCACCTTGCTTTGCAAAACCAAAAATCCCCTATATATGCCCAGGAGAGGAGACTTCAGCATTTGCCAGGCCCAGCAAAATGCCCTCCCTTATTCGCTTTCCGGCCTCACTGCTTCTCCCACACGTGGGTTCAGTAAGTTGTAAGACTCTGAAATCATGCTTGCTGAATAATGCTAGCCCACTCTGAAAATTTGGGAGAGAGCTGGACCCTCGTCATCACCACGCACTGTGTCACCGAGATAGGGTAACCCATGGTTACTGAGCGCAGATCAGTGAAGGAGCAGGCAGCCTTCCCTCCTCACTGCTCTATAAAAGAGACCCGGGCAGGGGACCCCGCCAGCTTCCAGCTCTCAGCCGGACGAGGGGTGGAGCGGAGCACACCAGCTGCTGGCGGAGGCAGGACCAGCATGTCTCCTTCCTTCAGACTCCGCTGTCGCTTCATCCTGATCTTCCTGGTGGCTCTGAGCGGGGAGAGCCGGTACCTGGAGGTGAGTGGTCCCCTGGCTGACCCCTCACACCTCCCCTGGTGAGTGTCCTGCCCTGGGGGGGTTGGGGGTGGGGGAGGGTGCGTAGACGCTTGCCTTTGCCGGGTTAGCTCTTTCTTCCCCATCCTTGGTGCCGCCCTTTCCCCAGACTGGCTTTCCCTCCTGCCTCTTCCTCCTTCCCCCTGGCCGCCTGCGGTCCCCTGGTCTGATGGACAGTATCCCGTCACTTGATCCTCTTTGCTGTAAGGCAGACAGGGTGCCCTGCTCCCGGCCCCCTTTCCCACCCCTTCAACTTTTCGCAACTGACCCATGTTCCTTGCCAGCAGCGGGAAGCCGGGGACCACGACCCTTTCCTGCTCCTCGGCGCCCACCTGAAGCGGGAGCTGGCGGGGGAGCCGCTGTACCGCCGCGCTCTGCGTGAGTTGGGGCTGCCCTGGAGCCCGGCTGGGTTCGCAGGCAGCGGGCTGTGGGGAGGTGTGGGCTCTCCGCATGGGCAGGAGGCTCCCGGCACCACAGAGAAGGGGCCGTCCAGGGCATGATTCCCATC